ATTGTTCCGCTCATAGGTGCTGCCAGTCTTATGCTCCTGAATATCGCTGCAACAATTGCAGGAAATGGTTTAGATTAAGCCGAACACACTTTCAATGCCCACACACTCATCGAACAACCAAGCAAACTGGATCAAACTGGGTCGTTTGCACAATATTTCTCTTTCAGAGGTGGGAAGTGAAGGAAAAACAGTGGAATGCAAATGGGCTGAGCAGGACAGATTGAATTTAAATCGAGCTGCTGTTTTAATGGTTGGTTAGAGCAACTCTTACGGTTGCGTTCGAGCTTTAGACACACACCGCAGAAGGGAATGAGAAGAGATCCTTTGGATGCAGCTGCTATGTCATAGTTTATTGTTCCACATCCGTGAGAACAATTTAATCACATCAAGCTCAGTAGGTTGACCGAGGAGTTTTTAGTAAGCCCAACTGAATAAAATTTCCTTTTAATGTGACCTAATAATTTAGTTTAATAGCACAGACAGAAAAAACATATGAGACACTGTGAAAAAAAGTAGAACTCGTTTTTATTATTACCTTATGCATCAGCAATCAAATGTGTATTTGAAAGAAGCCACACTTGCAGGTTTGAAGCAATCTTTCATTTTGATTCAATCCTATTTCCAAGACATTTGTTGCATATTTAATGCAAGTCCTCATTATGAATGAGGGGAATAGCTAATCAAGATATGAATATTTAATTCCTTCAGTTTATTCACCTTGAATCCCAATTTACAGGGCATGGAAAGACACTGACGTGTAATAATTTATATAATTCCTGATTTTCTTTTTTAAAGCACTTTGTTATATGATTAGGTTGGGGAAAAATATCAATAACAGAAAGCTGTCAGGATACGTTTCTGCAAAACAGCCAGGTTACGAGCAGCTTTCCTCGTGCACCTGCTGTTTCCATGGTGATTGTGATTGGATAGGTAGTGGGTAGTTAGCACCAGGCCCAATCAGGGTCTATTGGCGGGGAGGGGTGCTGTAAGACAGTTAGCCAACATGCGGATGACACTTCGATAAATCAAATGGTGGGCAATCAGAAAACGATCTGGGACTAATTGCTCTTGGTGAGGAAGAGACATGGAGAATCAATGATTTCTAGCTGTGGATGCAAAAAGCCCTGTTAGACCTAAGTGAGGTTAGCATCGCATGATTCATATGACTTCATTATACACTTTAAGTTTATGGTGAAGAACATGAACACTATCAACACCATCATAGACACCAACACAAATTAAACAGAACTATTAACCTTTTAAAAAGGTTTCAAATTAATGCATTGGGACAGAAAATATAAGCACACTCTCTGTCTGTGTGTGTCATGTTACTTGCAATTTCTCTGTAATTATTTGTAAAATGTGCTATAAATTTCTGACCAGTATGTGTGTGTGTGTGTGTGTGTGCATCTCTCTCTCTCTCTCTCTCTCTCTCTCTCTATGCAATTGCAATACATTCCTCAGACACTGTAATTTCTCTAATTTTTTCTACAAATGTAAGTTCTTCTGAAGATCCATAGTTCCATTTTTTTTATTACAGATTAAAAGTGATCATGTCAATATATAATTTAATATTTTTATACATTTTCTTTGATAGCACATAGTTATAGTATAATAATAAAAACATAGTGTATTACTTATTTTTGTTTTATGATTTTATGGGGGTTTTTTTAGATTATATTTTAATTATATATTATAGTATCATCTGATTTAAGAGATGATTAGTTATAATGTCATAATTCTGAAAATAAATAAAATGCAATGGTTTATTTGTGTCAAGAAAATTCTAGTGACCATCCCTGATATATTTCTAAACTGAAATCTTCCCCCATATTTTAAGAAAACATCAGCAAATCTATCCAAAGATCACTCCTGATGACAATTTAATAAATGCAATGGAATTTGTTTAGCACTTCTACTGAAGTGCACTCACTTTATAGTGGATATATTCACTGACAGCCCCAAATAACTGATCTATTTTATTACATCTGTTTGAAGCCTAAAACTGCAATAAAACAAAAATAACTGCTGTGGTCTTATCTGATGTGCAAAATCAGATGGTAGAGAGGTTCCTCTCAGCACAGAGAGACCACTGACCCATAGTGGGCACTGATATCACTATAATGACAAGCTTCCATGTCAACAGTGCTGGAGAGCACATGACTGCGAGGGTGAGTAAGAGATGGCCTCGAGGCCTGTGCCAGCACTGTGTTTTTCATTTGTCTAAATGAACGGAGGATGCATCACACTCGTATTTGCATTCCTGCCCCACTCTGCTGTTCATTAATGGCTGATGAATGCAGCTGTGTACGAAAAAGGTTTGTTAAAGTCCTTTAGCATGGTTCATGAATACTTTCTGGCTTTCATTTTCTCTCTCCTCCTCCCTGCCATCGTGGCGGCGTCTAATGTAGGTCATCTGTCAACCACCCACCCATTATTCTCTGTTACCTTTATGGCAGAGAGTGAAGCAGGAGTTTTCACTTTGCCTCCAGCCAAAGGAAACCTTTAGACCGGGTCTGACTCCGAGGACCACTGTAGCCCAAACCATGCGCAAATACATCCCACATCCACAGCTGTCTGGACTTTGATGGAGCCATTAATCTTGCCCTGCGTTTAGCATTTGGCCTTACTGTACATGTCTGTATGTTGGGCCAAATATAAAATCATACAGACAAATGAAATGTAATCTTGGATCATACTTTTAAGTCAACATAAAGTTATCTTCGCAAGCCTAAAACAGGATATTCAACAATAAAAAATGTATGGCTATATTTTATCCTTTGAGAACTGATTGGATCTACAATTGGCTTTCAGTCTGAAAAATACAGTCCGACAAAAATATTTCATTTTTTATTTTTATTTATTTTTTTTTAGTTTATGCCTAAAAGAGTTTTACCCCCATATATCACATATAATTTGCTCGTCCACACAATAAGACGACAGATACATGCACAATATATCTGTATAAACTCTGAACCATTTTATGACAAACTACTTTCTGTGGCACAGATACTGTGAGATCTTGTGACATCTGGAGAGAGCCTGAGGAACCGATTCCAACGGTCATTTCTGCCCTGTTGTGGTGGATATAAAGTATTACAACAGCAGTAATAATAATATTGAAAAGACAATTTAGCATTCCTCATAGTGTATCCACATCGACAAATAAGCATATCTGGGGTCCTTTAAAGGGGTCATATGATGCGATTTCAAGCCGTTTCGTGAACCTAGGAGAGGAGGTAATTCTGACTTTGCTATGACAATCTGGCGCTTCTGAATCAGCTACTGTTTTGTTATTAGTTTAAGTATTTGCTATTGACTGTTCAAATGCGGAGTTTTGCGCATGGTGTGTGTGTGTGCACGCGTGTGTGTGTGAGAGAGAGAGAGAGAGAGAGAGCGAGAGAGAGAGAGAGAGAGAGAGGGGGTCACATCACAGTGGAGTCAGCTTTCTTAACCGTGTCTTGTGTACTGCAAACACATACCAGCTTCATCACTGTCTGTCACGCGACTCTGTTCCCCTTTCGGGCTCTGTCTTTACATTTATTTTGAAAGATGAAGCTCGCGATTATGGTAAGGGGCGTTACATTTCCGACGAGTGCTTGCGGTGTTCGGCCAATCACAATGCACTGGGTCAGCTGGCCAATCAGAGCAGACTGCGCTTGTCAAAGGAAGGGGCTTTGTTGAAAACGACGTGTTTGAGAGAGGCGGGGCATAGAGGACCTACAATAATGTACAGTATTTGAAAAATAATGTGTTTTTTGAACATTAAAGCATGTCAACATATTCTGTTACACCAAATACACAAAATAATGATCTTTAAAAAAGCATCATATGACCCCTTTAATAATAATGATAATAATATATCTATAAAAATCTATATCTATAATAATTATTGTTCTGTTTGATTTTATATACACATATACACTACTGCTCAAACCTTTGGGGTCAGTAAGAATTAATATATTTTTTTTATAAATTAATCATTTTATTCACCAAGGATGCATTCAATTGATCAAAATTTACAATAATGATATAATGCTACAAACGTCTTTACAATAAATTAATGATGTTCTTTAGAACTTAATAATAATAATAATTATTATCATTATTAATAATTACTATTATTATTATTAAAAGCTCCACAAATTATCAGGCAGCACAACCGCTGCTGAAAATTTAGCTTTGCCATCACAGGAATGAATTATATTTTAAAATATAATAAAATAGCAACCTGTTATTTTAAATTGTAATAATATTTTGGAATATTACTGTTTTTACTGTATTTTTGATCATGTAAATGGAGCCTTGGTTAGCTTACCAAATAAGATGGCTGCCACATCAGCCAACAAAAACTGATTGCACTTTCAGGGAGTGTAATTTTGTCCATGGGACCAAAAGTGCCCATAGTTGAAGAAACAATCTGATATTCATGTATCAGCGGGTGATGCAACCAGATCAAAGTTCATAAAGGGCTTTAATTTCTCCATACGCGATACTGTGCCATGTGTTGACAAATGTCCTAGATCATCTTGCTTGTCTCTCACTGAATAAACTCTAATCTGGTTGCATCACCTGCTGATATGTGAATGTCAGGTTTACCAAAGGTTTACCTAAAGGTTTACCTTTACCAGATTCAATGAGAAAGCGAAAGAAAGAAGAGAAGACAGCAGTCATTTTGGAACTCGCCCTTTGTTCTTTCCTGTTATTGTGTGAGATGAAAGTGTGAATCGAGAAGTTTGACTTCTCTTAAATGTAAACATCAGATAAAACTTTATTTTCTTTTAAACTTGTGGGCGGCCACGCAGTGTTCTGGTATAAAAGCGTCCTTCATTTGACTTTAGTAAATGATTCACTTTTTGATCCCGAA